GTCTCTATGAACCATAATAGCGTTCAACAGCTCCCACATCATGCAGTTACAACACATCGCTTTGTCCAGCATCTTTTTTTTTTAAATCCTTAATTTGACTTTGAAAAGATTTCTACTGGTCTTTTAGTTTGTAACCTGTAAGTATTCCTCACTTTACATTCAATCTGAAAGTAACCTATAATAGATGGTCAAATTAGTAGCTATTACCAACCATTGACTTACAGCTTTCCTGTGATGTCACTCTTTCTTTTGTGCTGGGTCCCTGTACCTGGACTTCAATTTATTCAGTAAAACAATCTTACAAGCAATGAACCTAAAAAGCAAAAACCACCTCTTCCCCCTGCACCGAATTCCTACACTGTCTCCAAATTCCCTGAACTGTCTCCTCACTTGGACCATGTTTCACTCCAGATGTGATCGCTCTTTCATGACCATGCACAGATTATTACAGATCCCACACCATGTGATCAATTTAAGGATCTGTAGTCATGCCACATCCAATCCTGAATTCTGGTGAACAATGAAACAACGAATCACTGGAAAATTCTGCACAAGCACGTTACTCTTCAAGCAACAGGTGGCAGTTAAGAGTTAACCATTTTGATGTGCGGCTAAAGTCATGTGTAAGCCTGGGAAGGAGGACAGAGAAGATGTTAGTGAACTAGATGAGATTTAAACCACATTCTGGTCTTTTCATAATCAACATCACTGAAACAAATGTTTTTCCAGATTAATTATATGATAAATTTTACCAGTTGCTGTCGTAGCTGCCTTGCTGTACCAGCTGCTGTAGTAACTCACACCTTTACAACATTAATCTAGATGGTGGTATTACTGCTCCACAATCACCATTAGTCAGATGGGTAGATCAGTGGCAGATGAAATTGAACATCATTTAGACTCATTGGGGATAGTCAGCATAGATTTATTGGCAGGGGGTGGTGTCTTGTCTCACAAATTTGATTGAGTTTTCTGAAGAAGTGACGAAAATGATTGATGAGGGTCGAGAAGTGGCTGTTGACTACATGGACCTTACTAAAGCAGTTGACAAGGTCCCTCATGGTAAGCTGGTCTAAGTGTGGGATCCATGGTAAATAGGCAAATTGGATACAAAATTGGTTTGGTCATAGGACACAGAAGGTAGTTGTGGAGGGGTGTTTCTCTGACTAGAGATCCCTGACCTCTGGTATTCCACAAGGATAAGTGCTGGGACATCTGTTGTATCAGATTATGAGGGGCATGAACGAGGCGGATAGAAAACAGCTGTTCACTTTAGGTGAAAGGCCAGTAATAAGTGGGCATAATTTTAAAGTGAAAGGCACAACATTCAGAGGGCATTTGAGGAAAAACATTCTCACCAGAGGATGGTCAGCATCTGGAATGCTCTGCGTGGGGAGGTAGTTGAGGTGGGTAATCTCAGAACCTTTTAAAAGTGCTTGGATGAACACTTGAAGTGTCATTACATTCAAGTGCTGGAAAGTAGGACTCGTGTAAATTTAATGTATTTTTGGTGGTACAGACTCAGAGGGTTGAAGAGCCTATTCCTAACTGTATGATTCTATGATTCTATAAGTCTAGCACCCCAACTAAATTCATTTTATTTCCTTCTTTGTTATTGCTTCACTTATTTATTCATACAACTAATTAGTTAGGTAATGAGACCATTGTTCCTGACATTCATTGAGCTACTAAATGCCCATGACATTACCATATTATAATTAGTTGGCACTTCCAACAATTTGCTTTTACGAAGGTTTGTTGAAGGATCAGGGAGAAAAAAATTACAAAATGGTGGTGGATTGCGACTTATTATTGCACATATCTCAAAACCTTCAGACACCTGTACCACATCGTGTTTAGTTTATGAGTCCTGTACCATACTCTATATATTCAGTCTGTCAGAAACCAGCCAGGCAGACAGTCAACTGTGTACATAATGTAACTGTAATCTAATTAAGCAGAAGCCCCTGACTGTAATTCTAAGTTTGAGATGGCATATTAGTGTACAAAGCTGATTGCGTCAGAGTTTATTAACAATGTAATCTTGACTCTTTGTGGGTATATGTTATGTTGGCTTTGATATATAAAAGAACAAGCACATCTTGGTGGCAGCAAGCGGGTTCTATAAGATGGTGACTATTACAGTACATTTGAGGGTGGGCACAGCAAGTTATTATTGAAGACTTAAATAGTAGTTATGAAAAGTTATTTTCTGAAAAATCATGCATCCCTGTCTGAGTTCAGAGCTGAATTTGCAATTAACAACCAAAACTGAAGTCTACTCCAATAGAGGAAGAAACAGTTTGTGAGTATACTCTCTCTCTCTTTGAAAGAAGCCATAGATGACCTGATTTTTTTTTTTAAAATATAGGAGTTTTTGAAAAGTTCTGATTCAACTCTAACCTACTAAATTGTTCCTAGATTGAAATATAGTAAAACACAGGAACAATACACTGAAAAATAAAACAATAATAACAAAAAATGCCTTGCAGTGTCCAGAGGTCAGTTGATTCCACCACCTCGTCTCTTTGAAATGGTGCAAATTTACAGCATGTAACATCACGACTCACTGTTTTGGGGCAAGATCCACCTAGAAGCACAGGCCTGCTACCTTTGAAAGTGCATGTAAAGACAGTAACAGAAGAAAGAAAGCACAGATTTCGAAGGCAGCAGCGAGGAGAGAAACAAAAAAAGAGAAGCCAACACAAAATAAAAGAAGCATTATCCTTCAAAGATTTTTTTTCTGACTTTTTTTAAGAGCATAAGCAAGCTTGACATTGGTTCAAGTGCACAGATCATCATTTTTCCATCCTAGGTGAGATATACTTGGAAAATGGTCACACGTGGTTCTATATATAATTATTTGGCAAGAATTTTATTTTTCATACTCAATACTAACCATTAGAAAAGCACTGTGGAAAACCTCTCAACCACGCACCACCATAATTACAACATCAGCTTGTGAAAATCTAAGGGTACAATTTTGAGAAATATTACAAATGTATCTCCGCTCCTAGCAGATGTCTAAATCCTGCTAAGAACAAATATAGCCCTCTAAACTTACAAGTGGATATTATCCAATTTGAGTTTGATGACAGTCAGTACATCGATCTTATTCATTTTGGTGTATAGCCAAGCAGACTAAACTCACAATCTTTTATGACCAGCAGCAACAGCTCAAAAGGATCATCATTAGCAGATGGCCTGAGCACAATCAACTGGTCAATGACCAAACACCTTCTTTCTGGTCACACAGAGATAAACTAAGACTTTCTACAGCTGTAATTTTCAATAGCAAAGAAGTGATTATTCTACATTGGGGTTCAAATTTAAACAAGGTTTTCTGTAAATCACGTGTCTGATGACATCTGCTTGCTTTGTTGTAGACCCTGCTGGGATTGTTTTCTTCTCTGATTTTGATCATTTCTTGCTGCATTCAGGGTGAAACATATTTGTGCTTTTGAAAGATTGATTGAAAGAACATCTGAAGAAAAATCAAAAGAACTGAGGGTGCTGTAAATCAGAAACAAAAACAGAAATTGCTGGAAAAGTTCAGCAGGTCTCGCAGCATCTGTGGAGAGAAATCAGAGTTAACGTTTCTGGTCAAGTGACCCTTCCTGAGGATGTCCAAAGATCGTTTCCTGAGCAAGGTACAACTGCAAAACATCAGGAACAACCTTGATTTGTGACTTGACGATACGTTCCAGAACATCAGAGGAACAGACTCTGAAACACTTTACACTTTAACCTTTTGCCTTACTCACTAGACAAATAGGTGTTTTTTGAAAACCAGTTTTTGCAGACAAATCTGGTTTTAATCACTTTTCCTGTACAGCAGGTGTTTCTGTGCTTCGTCACCATTTAGAGAGAGAAGCATTTACACTTCTACAGTATTGGCTATGTATATTAATCAATTAATACATCTTTATCAAGCAAACTTTGTTTTGATAACAAACTGCCACCGCTGTTGATTCAGAAATGTGGTTGATAGATCTTCTTCAAATCCTGGCACTGATAAAGTATTTCATTGGTCATCTTGGTTACTAGGGGAAAAAAACTTGTTGTGACCTGTGAAGTGTCCTAAGGCATTCTCTGTAAGCCTCGGTCATAATATGCTATAACTGCAATCTAGGTCACTACATAATCCAGACTAGGGGCACATTTGCTGTAGTAATTGTATCCCTACCTCTGAGCCAGGAGCATGGGTTCAAGTCCTACCTGCTCCAGAAGTGTGTAATAGCATCTCTGAACAGGTTGATGTGGAAAACATCTAAACCAATTCTGTTAGTCCTGCCGGGGTGATGCAATTGTACCGTCCCTACCTCTAGGCCAGGAGATGTAGGCTCAAATCCAAGCTGTTAGGAATGCATAATTTAACATGTGTTAGAGGGTCTTGTGGTGCAGTAATGGTGTTCCTCCTCTAAGCCAGATGGCCTGGCTACAATTTTCAACTGTCCCAGGCATGCATCTTAACATCTGAACTTATTAATTAAAAATAATCATTATCTAACTGCATACTTAACTCTTAGAAATTATATTATTGTACATAGGTAGTTGTTGATAAACTTGCAGATATTGGACCTAAAATGAACCTGACATTTTATAGCATGTGTTACCTAGGTTGGCACACGGAAAACTACAAACACATCAGGACCTGCTCATCACAAAGGTGAGTATGTGAAGACATTAAGACCCTCCCATCAGAGTACTGTCAACTTCCAAGACAGAGAACCTTAGGCAATCCCTCTGACGTCAGACGTACATGACGCCCGTGGCGTCATACGCACCGAACGTCGGTGTTTTTTCACTCCGCGACCACTTCACCAACAAAATTCGTCCACATCCGCACATGACGAGAACGAGTGCGTCCAATTCACTTTCGGATTACGCGGGTTACCATTCAAATTCCGCGCGCGAACCGAACTGGTCGGGAGCATCATTGACTTTAAGATTTTTCTGCGTTATTAGCCCTCCTCTTCGATCTTCCACCGGCTCCAGCTGCCAGCGCAGGTCCTTGCGCTCATGAATACAAAAGAAGGCCCAAGGGGTGTTGCGGCCGGGGAGGTGAGATGGCGTCTTTCTAGATTGCCGTCTTTATTTGTGTAGGTTTGTGAGTGGCTGGTGGCCATCGGCGCCGCGCCGGCACTCTATAATTATACGCTGTCTGCAGCGCCGGAGTGAAGGTAAGGAACGGGCGGCTGCTCGGAAGGCAGGTTGTGGGCGAGGCACGGGAGGCGAGGCCAAGGCGGCCTGACCGAGCGGGGCCTGAGGGCCCGGGATCACCACCCCCCTCCCCCCCTTCCCCTCAATAGGAGCTCGGCTCAGTGCCTGATGGAAATGAAAAGGAGAGGGAGCTGGCAGTGAGGGGGGCAGCACAAGGACTGAGGCGAGGACCCGGGCGGGGGAGACAGATTGAGAGAGAAAAGGGAGTGAGGAGACTTGGGGGGTAGTGGTAGTGGTAGTGGTAGTCGTCAGGGAAAGGAAGGATCTAGGGCACATGGGGGGTGGAGTGCAAGTGTGGGATCTGGAGGGGAGTCTGGGGTTTGGAGCCATCGAAGGCAGTGGGGGTTGTATGGTGTCAAGGGGATGCTGAGGAGGATATGGAAGCAGTGGGTGCTATGGCAGGGGTAGAAGGGACGAGAAGGGGAGAGTGGAAAGGATGTTGGTGGGGGACTTGACTGACTGGGGGTGATCCTGGATGAGGCGTTGTGGAGGTTGGTGGCTTAATAGTACTTTTGATGGGAGAGAGAAGAGGCTCTGGAATCTGCAGGACTAGAGAGGGCACAGAACATTTGTTAGGGAGTGAAGGGAGATGACTGAGAGGGTATTACTGATGGACAGTTAGGGGTGTGCTGCTGGGGTTGAGGTACTGATAGTGCAGTGCAATGTGATGGCCCTGACCCAAGTCATTTGAAAGCTGCTGTTCTGATCAGTTTTCAGCACTGTAACAGCTGTCACTTTATTGCTATTTACTGACACGTGCTGCATGGCATTGACAAGCAGTTGTCAATAAATAGTTTCTGCAGGTAGTTGTAGAAAGCAGCAGATAGACCATTGATTTTTCTTTTCAGTAGATGTTCTTTAGTGACTGACTGAATATGCACTTGTTATCAGGCAGGTAGTACTTAACAGGATGTATTTGGGGGCTGGTGGATGGAAGATTTCTTGAATATGAATTATTAGAAATCCACTAGTTTTTGCCAAATAGCACCTACAGTTGGATTGAGTTTGTGCAGTCTGATCTGATTGTTCACGTTTTAATTTCTGTGAGAACAGATAGAAAGAAAGTTAATTTTTTCCAACTAAGTGTGAGATAGTACAATTGCATTTTCTGAAAATTAACAGAAGTGGACAGTGCTCCTGATCAGGTCTGTAGTGCAGTGCCAAGGCCAAAATGAAAATCAAAAGTTCCTGCCCATTCCATTGCTTTTACCACAATATTACATAACAGCTGCTAGGAATGTCACCGTTTGGGTAAAACTTCCAGAAACTCTACTTTTGTGGCAACTGATCACTGATGAGAGAGCTTTGTATATTAAGCGGAGCTTATTACCTCCTGCAATTGCACTGTCTTGCCAAGGTGGTGTAGGCCCAGCATGTGTGGTCTAGCATCATTTCAGTTGTATTTTTCTTAAATTTAATGACTGGGTTACAGTGTAGAAACGTTTGGAAACCTGTTCAAACACGGGTGGCAACCACTCCCCATCGTCATGTTAATTACTATTTACTAAATTTACAGTTTGGATTATGGTGGCCCTTTAGAAGTTAAAACTTAGGTTTGTTGTTCAATGGGAATGATAGCAAAAGCAATAACTTTGAGTGCAATAGTGTACATTCCTCTGTTACAAACAATATTAATGCTACTAGCACAAAAGGGTTGAGAATGTTTTTACAAAAAAAGCAATAGCAGCAGAAGTGAGGCCAATTGCCTGTTAGCTTTTACTAAAAACCAAAAGAACTGCGGATGCTGTAAATCAGGAACAAAAACAAAGTTGCTGGAAAAGCCCAGCAGGTCTGGCAGCATCAGTGAAGGAAAAAACAGAGTTAATGTTTCAGGTCTCGTGACCCTTCCTCAGAACTTTTACTGTTTGTTTTCAGTTGACTTGTGTGTGTCAGATCTGAATTTACATTTAGTGATTAAATATTTAGATGTCACTTATGATCACTTCCTTTATGGCCAAATCAGTAAACTCTTTCAACAGAGAATTGGCTAAATCCTGAAAGAATAAATATGAAAAGCTGGAAGCAAAGATCAGGAGAGTGGGACTGATTGAAACTGGCACAAGTTCAGCAGGGCTGATTGGGCTTCCAGAGACAAATAAAAGTTAATTTGTATAGTTGTTTTTTTTCTGCTGTCTGTGTGCTTGCTCAAAAACAACAAATCTACTTTGGAGGCAAAATGCCCTAAGACTGCAAAGCTTTGATTCCTGTTATTTTCATCAAATTAGCAGAATTGTGTAATCACCTCTACAGCAACTGTAGAAAGAAGCACATTTGGTACACTAAGCAGCAGAATATATTGAGCCACTGAAAGTACTTAAACACAAATACATTTAAGTTTACTTTGCACACTATTGTATTGGGAATTAAGTCTGAAGGATTTCAAATTTACTCAAAAACTGAGTTTGTGTGGGATGGGATGTGAATGCTTCAGTTAGATGTAGGGAGTCATTTGGATCATGCTGTACAAACTTCTGCATGCAAAAACTGCGGTATGGTTTACTGAGATTTTAAGTTTCAAAAATAAGAAATTAGTCACTACTCAAATATTCATTTTCCTTTTAAGCATTGAGACTTTTCGATGGGGATATGTTTCCTTTCCTTTCCTCCCACCTCCCACTGTTCAGTTTAGCATTTGCACCTGTAGAGTTGTACGCAGAGCCTGGATTTGGTGTGCCAGTGTCTCCTATGACTGACCAGCAGGTATTAACATTCCTTTCCTTTATGCTCTGCAGACTTTTACATTAAATTAGATGATCTTGATACTGGTTTTGATAATTCAGCTGCTTATAATTATGTGGTGCCAATAGGTGTAAAAGATGTCCAATGCCAGCTGTCAAAGGTGTGGGAGCTCAATGAGTAACAAGCCAGGAGAGGAGGAAATCGGGAAGTTTGAAATGAAAGTGTCAATCACAAAATTGGATTTAGGTGGACCTTGAAAGCGGAGGGGGTTGGTGATGTGTCAGGAATAAATTCCATGCTGGAGATCTAATGGTCAAAATGTGAATCAACTGGTATTTAATCAAGTATGCCATTCAAGAAAAAAATTAAAATTGCATGTTGCATTTCAAACAACCCTTATCTCTTTCCAATTCATGTGTGGATCGTTTTCTTTGCAGCTTGGCATTATTATAAAATTTAACAGCTGAAGGTGGGAAAAGTAGTCATCACATCAGTATTTGCTTGGAAACTTATCTTGGGAATTCCTGTTGTTTGTTTGCTGAAAGCATTGCCATGTTTTCACTGCCCACACAACAGAAAAGTGCAAGTTCAGTCACTGCTCTGTGCTGAATCAGCTACAGCAGGGGAGAAGAACTTTTCACAATCCAGAGACTAAAGGAAAAGATTATCCAGGGTTCCGGCTCCTGGCTACTACTTGGGGATCAATGTTATAAAACTGCACTTGTACAACTATGTCTGTATTATATATTGCAGTGGTTAGAAGGGAATTATATACTTAGTTCTGACAAAAATGTCTTATACCAACAGAAACTGCCATCAGCAATGTTTCCTCCAGTTCTGCCTGTATTCTTAATTATGTGAGCACTAGATGCTGTCTAAGGCCCAATATCTATTTCCAAAGGAGTTTCGATTCCAGAGTTTGGGAAGAGCAAAGTTCTGACATGACTGCAGCTTATGAAGAGATGGCTGCAAACATTACATTTTGTAATTATCCCAGCAGAAATTTGAGGTCTACCCTCTTGGGAGAGTCCAGCAATAGGCTTTATTAAGCAAAATTATCTGTAAGGCATGCAAAGAGAGGACAGTCTCTGGATTCATTTCAAAGTGATCTGATGTAAATATGACACAGCTTCGTTGCACATGCCCAGTAACTATTACTGGAGTAAAGGTATAATTAATTCTTTGTGACCCCAACTGATTCTTTTACAGTAACTAATCAACATCTAAGCATAAAATACTGCTACATCTTCATTCCCCTTCTTTTTCCCCCCCCCCCCACCAAAAAAAAAGGCTTTGCGATAGTCTCAATAGCATTTTCCCCTCTCTTGGATCTTTACAATGTCTACACAAGTGTCAGAATGGGATGGCAGTTTCTCATCAGTTAAAACCATTTCTGAAACTTAATGTGAGGTGCATCATTGAGGGAATAGACTTGTGGGTTGGGATCATAGAACCCCTACAGTGTGGAAACAGGCCATTCGGCCCAACAAGTCCACACCGCCCCTCCGAAGAGCATCCCACCCTGACTCATTCCCTTACCCCAGCATTTCCCTATGTCTAACCCACCTAACCTAAAGATCCCTGGACACTACGGGTAATTTAGCATGGCCAATCCACCTAGCCTGCACGTCTTTAGACTGTGGGAGGAAACCAGAGCACCCGGAGGAAACCCACGCAGACACGGGCAGAATGTGCAAACTCCACACAGACAGCCGCCCAAGGTTGGAGTTGAACCCGGATCCCTGGCGCTGTGAGGCAGCAGTGCTAGCCACCGTGCCATCCACTGTACAGGATGTGTAAGAGATTCTGATGTTGCAATTATTTGCCAGCTGGTTAGCAAATTGGACTCCTTCACTATGTATTTCTAAGCCTTTTAGATCATCTCTGGAGGAAACACTTAACAATTTGGCAATTTCTGTAAAGGGCTAGACTTTTTTATTTAAACAGGACTGAGTATATAATGGCCCTGTAACCTCGATTCGGGTCAGCATGGGACACTCTAGTCAACTGTGTAGTATAAAAGACAGTCAAGCCTGACAACTGCACAAGTGCCCGTAAAAGCAATGATGTCTAAACAGCATCCTGGAACAGAAATCCAAAGTTCCTTCTTATGCTGCAATCACCATCTCCATAAAGAGACCACTCTTCCATGACGGTCTACAGAGACCTGTGAATGTAAAAGAAATTTACATTCTTTCTGTTCAGTACTTTTTGTGGACAAAAAAATTGTCACTAAGGTTTTGGAGTAGATCTGTATCTAAAAATTGTCATTTGCTAATTGCAGCTAAATGTTTTCCATAGATGCAGGAGCAGAAGTAGAGCATTCAGCCCATTGAGTCTGTTCCACCATTGAATGAGATCCTGGCTGGTTTGATAATTGTCAATTCCACTTTTCTGCTTTTCCCCCCAAAACCCTTGATTCTTGACTGATTTAATAATCTGTCTTGACCTTGAATATACTTAATAGCCCAGCCTCAACTGCCCTGTGTGGTAAAGAATTCCACAGATTCACTTCCCTCTGAGAGGAGGGAGAAATTTCTCCTCAGTCTTAAATTGGCAGCCCCTTATACTGAGATATACCCTCTGTTCCTAGAAGTTCTCACAAGAGAAACAAACGCTCCCAATCTAGCCTGTTAAGTCCTCTAAGAATCTTTGTTTCAATAAGGTCACTTCTTTATTCCAAGAAGTACAGGCCAATTGACTCAACCTCTCCTCATAAGACAGTCCCTCCGGTTTGAACCTGGTGAACCTTCTCTGGACTGTCTCCAATGCTAGTACATCATTCCTTAAATAAGGGGCCCAAAACCCCTCAATATTCCAGCCATTGTCTGACTGGTGCCTTGTATGATTTTTAGCAAATCTCACTATTTTTGCACTCCATTCTCTTTGAAATAAAGGCCAACTTTCCTTTTGCCCTCCCTATTACATGCTGAACTTGAATACTAGCTTTTCATGATTCATTGATGGGATTATGAAAGTCCTCTTCCATTTTCTGCAGAGATAGTAACAACTGCTGATGCTGGATTCAGAGATAACACAATGTGGAGCTGGAGGAACGCAGGCCAGGCAGCATCAGAGGAGCAGGAAAGCTGACGTTTCGGGTCAGGACCCGAAACAGCTTTCCTGCACCTCTGCTGCTTGGCATGCTGTGTTCCTCCAGCTCAACATTGTGTTATCCATTCCTGCAGTCTTACCATTTTAAATAATATTCAGCTTGTCCGATTGCCAATGAGCATAACCTCACATTTCCCATTATATTCTGTCTTTTGAGTTTTTTGCCCTTTCACTTAACCTGTTTATATCCCTCTTAGTTTCTTTGTGTCATCTTACTACTTGCCTTCTCACCTACTTTTGTCATTCGCAAACTTGGCTATAGTACGTTCACTTTTCTCATCCAAGTAATATATGTTGTAAAACTTGTGGTCCCAGCTTTGATCACTGTAGCACACCGCAAGTTAAAAGTTGCCATCCTGAAAATACCCTCCTTGTCCCAACTCTGTCTTCTATTAGCTGGTCAATCAACCACCCATGCTAATAGCCTCCCTTTTATACTATAATTCAAAAAGATTACATCCCTGCCATGCCAAATGTATTTTTCTGAGATGCTGACAAAATGTGCTATGCTTCCAGAATATTCTACCATTGTTTTAATTCCAGCAGTCTTCTCTTTTGGTTTCTTATTGTACAAATGGTAGATCTGTTTATACCTGATGTATGCGTTTTCACAGCAGTACTTAGTCTCTGGAATCAGAAGATTTGAGAGTTCAAGTTCTCCCATAATCTGGACTGACTTTCCCAGTACCAGGAGAGTGCTGCAGTGTCAGAGGTGGCATCTTTCAAACAAACAGAGACCTTATATATTCTTGAGGAACAATGTAAAAGGTGCAATTACTATACTTTTAAAGAAGAGAAGAATTCACTTTTGGTCTCGGAGAGTATTCAACCCTGGACCAATGTCGCTAACAGATTCGCAAGTAACTTTGCTTTTTTCAGGGCCTGGCTGTGCACTACTTTTTTTTTTAAACCTTTTCCAACTTATAACAGTGCAGTTCAAAAATGAAATTTATTTAATTGTCTCTTATATCCTTAGGGGCGCCCTGAGGTCATGAAAATGTTTGAGCTTTTGTTTGGCTGAAGAAGAAAATGGACTGTCATGATTCTGCACGGCTTATAATTTGAAAGTTGCTTCCATCAGTCATTTTGCTTTTAAGGTTGTGCTCTGAAAAGTTATATTTGGAATGACGACGTAAAATGTGGAGAGTGAGAGAGGGGGATAACCGTCCAAATCAGAATAAAATTTTTAATGCTTCTGACTAAAATGTGTTCAAAAGGCCCTGCTTTGTTAGTCCAGGTTTAATATTTAAATCATTTACATATTCCTTATGTAATTTGTTCTGTTGTGATTTTATTTTCGTGTCACTGAGTTGAAAACATCCAAATCCAGGGGCACTGGAAATTTTCTCAAACCTGCCAGCTGTTTAAGATTTGAGCATAAAGAAATATTATGCCTTTTGGTGTAATTTTGTACTGAAAATTCTAAATTCTGTGGACACTACCAGTGTCACATTTCCTAATAAACAGCCCTCTGACTGTCCCTGTCATTACTGCTTTTTTATTGCAGATTTTGTTTCTTTTATACAGACTGCTGACATGATGGAGCTGGAGGAGAATGCAGTACAGAGCAGCAGTGATGCTGCTCCCTCGGGGCAGGAAGAACCCTCTGAGAGTGGCATAGCAGCAGAGACATCCGAGGCGGTATCTGCAGACAGCAGTGACACAGTAACCACTCTTGGCGTAGCAGTTGAGGCCGACAATGGCTCAGGTGTTGATTCTGGTGTAGGTCAGAGCTCTGAAGAATCAATGGTATGGCACCCTAAGTGGAACTTGATAATTGAGACAATATGATAGATATTCAACAAGTGGTTTTGTACGTAATTAGACTAACTTGAAATCGTCTCATAGGCCTGGCAAACAGTTAAATTGTCGAAATGCATGAGTTGGGCATCCATCAAAGGCAACTGTAAATTCCAGGTGTGGAGCTCAGCATGTTTGTTTAATGTTGGTTCTTCCTGTTCAACATAACTGGTTTACAGTTGTCTAATGGGTCCATGATGAGGCAATTCACAACTCCACGGTAATTCATTTGACTGTTTTAGCCCCTTTCAAAATGGAAATTTGAAGACCAAACCACTTGCTGAACTTGCAGGAATATCCAGTGCTAATTTGTTTTAATCACATGAACATGGTATGGGTGGCATAGTATCATTGGTTTAGTGATCCAGAATCCAGTTAGTGATGTTGGTGCATGAGTTTAAATCCTACACCAGATGGTGAAATTTCAGTATAATGTAACTGCTGTTGATTGTTGTAAAAATGCATCTAGTTAATTAATGCTCTTTGTTAGGTAAAGAAATTTGTCGTTCTTACCTGGACTGACCTACATCTGCCTCCAGATCCACACCCAGAGCAAGGTTGTTAAATTTCTTGAGGCAGTCAGTGAAGGGCAATAAATGCTGGCTAGTGACACCAACATCAATGAATTTTTTTAAAAGCCTGTAATTTCAGTGAATCTCACAACAATATAATAACAAGTAAAAATTTGGGTTAAACCATGATTTTTCACTCTATATTTTAATGACAATGTCTGCATTCACTGGAGTTAAGATGAATGAGAGGGGATTTCATTGACAGGTATAAAATTGACTGAGCTATGCAGGTTGGAAGAGTCTAGAAGAAGAGGTCATGGTCTAAGGAATAGGGACTGAGATGAAAAATAAAATCTGCGCTCGGGTTGGTGACCCTGTAGAATTTTCTACCACTAAAGGTGATAAAGGCCAAGCCATTGAATATATTTCTGAAAGGAATAGATTTTTTGCCACTAAAGGTGTAGAGAAGTATGGAGAGAGAGCAAGGGTGTATTGTGTTAAGATGGTGGATCAGCGTGGTAGTATTGAATATTGGAGCAGGCACAGTGGACCGAATACCCTGCGCTTATTCCAATTTCTTTGTTTCATTGTGTAGATAACCAGGGGAAAGATTTCTCAATCAATGATCCCATATGCTGTTTTGAATAATCTCAGGTTACAATGAACCCGAAATGTGCTCCAAACCCTATTAACAAGTATTTTTTCTTTTGCTTTGGTATTCCAGGAGGTAGTTCCAGAAACTAGTTCCAGCACAGATGTCAGAACCATCTCACACCTTCCAGATTCCTCTTCGGTTGCTCAGTCCACTATTGTGTCCAGTGTCTCTACAGTTACACAGTCTATCATGGTGTCTGAATCTGCCCAAGTACTGGTCCATTCCAGCGTGGCACCAGATGGTACCATGATAGTGTCCGACTCGACTGCTTCTACATCCTCCGATCTTGGATCAGCTATAGATAAAATTATAGAATCTACGATTGGACCTGACATTATGCAGAGTGAGTGCCTTTGCAGCGCTCCCAATGGAGGTCATTCCTGGTGATTATTTATCTCACAAATATAGATAGCGCTTATTAGGCATTTCCATGTAAATTGATTATTGATCTATAAAACGGGCCTTGATACAGTTGAAGCTTGTTAAGTGGGAATGCCTGGTTAAAGATGAGTCAATGTATTGATTGGTTCATTTTCATTTTATTTCCTCATAAAAGAAAATAAAATGTTTTATTAAAACCAGGAAAAGACACCATAATGTTTTGGTTATTGGATAATGTCTTGGCTGTCATCAAATTTGCAAGATTATACTGAAAGTGCTAATTTATTTAAGATGTTTAAACATCTTTAAGATGTTTTCTGCATTTTCTCATGTTTCTTTATCGGATTTCTCACATTTTAATTGAATAAGCTGCATTGTGTTATTAACTGAGACTTGTGCTTTGCCCAGGTTGTATCGCAGTAACAAGTGCAGGAGATGAAGGTGCTGAAGTCACGCAGTACCTTGTGTTGCCATACCCTGATGATGGTGAGAATTTTACTCTGCTGGAATATACTTTAAAAAATTTAAAAGCGCACACCAGTTTTCCACAAGTCTAATTTGTGTTTTTCGTTTGTGTTAGATAGTAATTTTAAATTTTCATCAGATCATTGTACATTTGACTTCACTCTTTATAATATGTGTTAATTGTACTAATGTTCAAATTTCTCTAGGTTTGCAAATCGTTAAGTGACAGTTCAATTTGTTACCATCTGCTAGAGCTTTTTTGTTATAGTCTACAACATTGTATTGAATATTGACGTTCCTTCACACAGTTCATTGTTTCCTATGTCTCTGGGTGGGGAAATAAAATGTAATTAGATCACTTGTTCCGGTGACTTATTTCTACAGTTTTTAGTACGAGTTACCCTTGACTCTGACCATCTAATATGTATTTTTAGGTGGTCCTATTGATTCCCAAATGTCCAACTCTCAGATGTCCAGCTCTAGGCTTTCTAATCTGTCAGGTGATGGGTTGGGAGAAGGCCCAACATCTACCTGTACTGACCATCTTGAGCAGCACGACTTGTCTAATCTGGAGGACATGATGGAGGTGGTGGTGGTGCAGCAGTTCAAGTGCAAGATGTGTCCGTATAAAAGCATCTCAAAGGACAATCTGATCAATCATATGAAGGATCGACATCTCAACATTGGTAATTATCAATCCAATGTCATTACCTTCGTTTGTTGTTCAGTATTAACTTAGTCTGTAAATTTAAGAAACGTTGGTATTTCCACAAGTTTTATACCTATAAAACCAGTATTTTAAAACTTCTTTTCCCTTCTCATCCTGTGTTGTTCGCTAACATCTGTTTATGCCAGATATGGCATTATTTAATCATAGAACAGTCAAAAAACATTTGTGTTAGATATTAAAGATGAAACAGCTGTCTGGCCACACAACACTGTCAGCAAACTAGTATGAAAAATGCTGGAGAAGCTCTGCAGGGCTGGCTGCCTCTGTGGAGAGAGAAACTGAGTCTGAAGACGAGTCCTACTGGACTCGATGTTAACTCTGCTTCGCTGTCTCCAGAGATACTGCTAGACTGGCTGAGTTTCTCCAGCATTCTGGGTTTGTTTCAGATTTCTAGTATTTTGCAATTATGTTAGCCTCAGTTTGCTGAGGGCACATTTATATCCTTGCTGCTTCTGGGTGTCAAGCAAGCTTTCAAACAGCAGTCTGTTTTCAGTCTGTTTCTAATCAATTGTTCAAATCTATAAATCTGCCTGTGAGGTCTTTGTTTGCCTGCCTACCCTTAACTTTGGCCCCCGCATGATCCTGCTATGCCAAGTGTGTACCAGATTGTGGAAAGTCACTGAAGTTGGGAATCCATGCTGCTCTACATCATTGAGTGGTGGGACAATCCCATAATCTCCAGAAGAGCAACTTTTTAATTTTATATAGTGCCTTTAGTATAGTAAGAACACCAAAGGAGCGTTATCAGATGATATTTGGCAATGAAGAGTCTTAGAAATATTATGATGAAAAGCTATTCTAGAGAGTTGTTTTTTTTTTAGGAACTTAAGACCGGCAGAAAAATCAAGGGAGGGAGCAATGAAAATTAGGATGCACAATAAAAAATTGAAGGAATACCGAAATCTTGGATTGAATGAGGGAAGTTTGTTTTTAGTTTTTTTTTTAAATGCAAAGATGAGAATTGTAAAATGCCAGACTTGAAGACAATGTAAATCAGAGCACATGGGTGCTCGGTGAATGGGATTTGGTGCGAATCTGGATATGGGCAGGAAGAGGTTTGGAGAAGCTAGTTTTTTTGTGGGAGATCAGGAGAGCAGTGGCTCTAATGATGGTATAGGTGAGGGTTTCAGCATCAGATGAATTGAAGCAAAGGTAGAGATTGGCAATATTACGGAAACGAAAGGGGGTGGTTTTGGTAACGTAGAATATGGTGGTAAATCGCCCCTCTTGGAACAATCTGAAAGCAAGTAGTCCAGCTCAGCCTTGGCCAGGAGACAGGCTAGTGTCAGTGACTAGGGAGTGAAGTTTGATTACTTTTGGTCCTTCTAATTAAAGAAAATTTCTGCTCATCCAAACTGGATATTATTTGAACAGAGTGGCAAAAAGAGGCTCCCTCCAGACTGTGATGTGGAGGTGCTGGTGTTGGACTAGAGTGGATAAGGTCAGAAGTCACACAGCACCACGTTATCGTTCAACAGGTTTATTTGAAATCACAAGCTTTCACACCGCTGTTCCTTCGTCAGCTGGAGCTCAAGCTGAGGAAGGAACAGCGCTTCAAAAGCTTGTGATTTCAAATGAAACTGTTGAACGATAACCTGGTGCCGTGTGACTTCTGACCTTGTCACTCAAAACTGTTTACCAAAGCTATATGTAGTTGTTTTCCTCCTGCATCCCCCATCTATATTGCATTCCCTATCCTCCAGTCAGTAGTTTTTGTGTATAATGCAGCTGGAATTGAGTGCTCAACTTGTAAGTGTGGACCTGTTTAGCACTGTTGTATGGGTTATTTGTTGGAGCCTTATGGATAAATAGCTTGACTTTAAAAAGAGCCTACAACTCTGCAGTAAGCAAACCCTGTGTCATCCAGTGTTGTTTCAACAAGTAAATCAAAGACGTAAGAGAAATAAAAATACATTTTTAAATTAAAATATGTATTCCTTTTGTTTTGGATTTTAAGTTTACCTCATAATAATCCTTTTCATACAGCTACAAGATAGGCGAATCTGATTTTACCTAGATGAATGCAAAAGTCCATTTTAAAATCTGTGTTTTTGTTGTAGAGGAAATATAATTCTGTCATTTGTTACAGGTATAGTTGAATGGAGCTTGTTGCATGGGGAGTTAAAACTAAAATTCTATTTTCATGCCATTTCTTAGGTGGTTTTCTATCGAAAAAGAGAGGAAGGGGCCGGCCAAGGAAGCAGAGTACATCACCAAGACCAGAGGAAAATAAGACTCGGGAGCAAGAGCAAGATGAAGAAGATGACGACATTGTGGATGCTGGAGCCATTGATGACCGAGAAGGTAATGAATCCTGAAGTTTGGCAACAGACACTTGCTTAAGTGTAATGCTTCAGGAAAGAGATGGTGCAACAGTCAGCAATTGAAAGAAGGAAGCCATAGCACAGCAAAAGGAGTTGACATCTGGTTATATCTCAATTTGCTGGCATCCTGCATATTTGAAACCAAAAAAAAAAGCTAATCTCCCTGCAGGTTTGAATGTAGTGTAACTCCATTGCTGTATTACAGGCTCGTGATTTTAGTCCCTTAGATAAAGAATCTATTTGAATTCCTTCAATTTTACAATAAGTTCTTAGTCTATTGAGTTTGGGTCCAGTTCCATGCTCGTTAGATAATTTGGAAAGTAATGTGTCCTCTCTTGGTACTGTTTCACCTTTCAAATGATAGCAGGTCAGAAATAGCACCATTTATTTGCACAGTAATAATCCATTGTGTTGAGGTTAAAACACAATTTCATTTTGCTTTTGCCAATCGTTTTAGTTCAAAAGGGTTACTTTTTAAAAAGTTAGCAGACTGGAGGAATAATATCTCCTCTTCATACTTGGCACTTTACAACCTTCTGGACCTAATATTAGGCTCAATGTTTCAAACTGTGAACTCACTCATTTCTTCCCTTTCTTTTAGCTTTACTTGTTGCATTTGCTGTCACCATGTCCTCTCTCTTCCCTCCCCTCACTCCAGTGGGACCATCTGTACTTTCCAATTTGGCAGTTGGACATACCATTGTTCTTTCATAACCAGGTGTAGAGCTGGATGAACACAGCAGGCCAAGCAGCATCAGAGGAGCAGGAAGGCTGATGTTTCGGGCCTACACCCTTCATCAGAAATG